GCAGTGGCAGCAACGTTTCTTTGGCCAATGAAACTTAGGCATGGTGCCTGTCGACCATTCTGTGAAGAATTATAGGAGTACCGAAAAAATGAAGGATAAGCTGCTTCCGTTGGATAAGTCACATGTCCAGCGGGTTGTGAAGGATAAGAACCCGATCCCGAGGGATACTCGGAATGCCCGTAAAGCTGTTGAATGCCATAAGGGCTAGGATGTTGAGTGGTGGTGGTTACATTGCCCGATCCTCCGTGAGTTGCTGATCCTATTTGACCAGTGTTAGGTCTGGCTATAACGTATCCAGCAGGGTTCGCTCTCGGTTTGGTTTGGTTCCATACCGACAGGGCCACCATTTTAAAGGACCGCTCACCAAGTGTCTTTTTTGACTTAAGAGATGCTGTTTCAAAAAGAAGTCTATTGTTGGATCGTAGATTGTTCTCTTTTATTGTCACGACTTCTTTTAAGTAGCCAAGTGACGGTCCGTACAATATCTTAAATGTCAATACACCAACCTTTAACGGGGAGCCAGTGAAGGGATTCAGCAGTCCTGCCGCTAATTAAATTCCGTACGCGCGCTGTAATTTGGTGACGTGAACCGAGGGCAGCCGTGCAGAAGGGCATGCACTTGTTTGAGTAGCTTTTTAGGTAAAAACTTTCGGATGCGCCTGATGTTGTGTATGTGAAAACATAAGCAGCTCTTCGCGTTTTGTTGTTGTGATCTTGACCCGTATCCATCCACGTTCTAAGAGCCAGCCTTTTTCAATAAACTTGCGTCTTCGTGTGGGCACTCTGAGCAGAGTCACTTTGGCCAACAACGCTTTCATACGATGGGGGTGGGGGTATCTCTGTTGGGTATGCTGGCTGACCATTCTGTGAAGAATTATAAGGGTACCGACTGGACGAAGGATAAGCTGGTCCCGTCGGATGACACAAAGTTCCAGCGGGTGGCGGCGGATACGGTCCTGTTCCCCAGGGATACTCGGGTGTTTGCCCGTACGTCTGTTGAAAGCCATGAGGGCTAGGATATTGAGTGGTGGTCGTCACATTGTCCATTTCTACTTGAGTTGTTGATCCTATTTGACTAGTCGGTTCGGCTATACCTTGTCCGGCATTGTTGTTTCTTGGGCGGGTGCGAGTATACTCCACGGTTGAAATCAACAACACTAAGCCGATTCCCAAAAATATCGGCCCAACGATTCGCGTTAGACTTCGCTCTAACGAACATACACTACCAACTACAGTCAAGATAAAACCGACGAGGAGAAACATATTCGTAAAGAAAATCAGAGCAGAACTGCATGTATTCGCCCGTCTCAGAGGAATAGGATTCTGTTGATGCATGTTTGCTAGAAAAATGGACGCCAGCCTTATTCGTTTTAAACTCCTTAAAATCAGTTCAAACTGTCAGCTTACTAGCTTACTGTTGTTGAATGCAGCTTATATAGTCTTATGAGTGAATAGCCTCAGTACGTCAGCCCGTAGAGCTTTAAAGAGGCTACTTCAGTAAAATTCCTTGTTTAGTTTTTGACATTTCAGCGGCTCACCAAGAGTTCATTCAGGATATACAAAAAAAGCCTCTATAAGGAAATTATTGGCATAGTGAATGTTTGATAAATTTTTGGAGGGGGTTTGTTCTAAAGTACGAAAGTGAAATAGGCAAAACCAGAAACTTTCTTTCACTTTCAATTCACTCAATTTTAAAAAAGCCTTTCCGAAGCTTTACGAATTCCCGGTACCCAGCAGTTGTCGCGGCGAAATTCCTGCAACTCTGCACGAAAGTTGGATTGTTAAAGAAAAAGCAAAAAACGAATTGAGTACTTCAATCGTTTTTATTTACAAGTATCTTAAGGTTTTCCCGTTACCTTTACGTAAAGCAGTATTTTTCCATAAGTCATCCGGCAATAAATTCCCGAGTTCACAATATTATTTCGCATTAATACCATTGCAAAATGGCACGTTTTTCGTCCAGTTATATCAATGCTTAAATTGAACTGATTTAGGACCGGTTCAGACGCCGAACTTTTCATGAGCCAAACCTTATTCAAATTCTCGCCGACCCAAATTATTTAGACCGGCTGAATTGATTCAGATACAGCACTAAGATCAAAAGGCGAAAAATGCTCATTTCGGTCAAACTGCTTGCAAAATACGTTATAATAATTTATAAAATAACTGAGATAATACGCGTGATCTGATTGGTCAAAAACCTATTGTTTATTATACTGGCTCGTGATTTACAAGCTTTTCTCGTGTTCTCCCAACATCCCGCGTGGGTTATCACGCCGGTAAACCCATAGAAAGTGTGGTCTATTGCTTAATTATGCATTAGGTTCGGTACATGAAAAGTTCGGCGTCTGAATCAACGCCGTTCCAAAGTCGCTCCAAAGGCGAAATTCTCGGTCAGACTAGGCGAAAAGAACGGTTGAGCCGTCCCAAATTGAAACAGGTGTTCCAACTTGATCCCTGCGCCAAACTTTTCATAGTCCTTAATTCAATGTATTAGCTTTCGCTCATGAAAAGTTCGGCGTCTGAACCCGGTCATTCGTGTACAAATACAGGGCAGCACCCCGATAACTCGAACCCCCCGCTAACTCGAACCAAGTCCACTTCCCCTTGGATTTCACCCCACTTTTCAGCCATTTTTACTCTGTTAACTCGAACTCGAATAACTCGAATTCCCCCCCCCCCCCCCCCCCCCCC